GTTCCCTCTCCTCCTGTCCCTGTTCCCTGGGAGCAGAGCCCGACCCCCCCGGCTGTCCCCTCCTGTCAGGGAGTTGTGCAGAGCCACAAGGTCCCCCCTGAGCCTCCTTTTCTCCAGGCTGAGCCCCTTTCCCAGCTCCCTCAGCCTCTCCTGGGGCTCCAGCCCCTTCCCCAGCTCCGTTCCCTTCCCTGGACACGCTCCAGCCCCTCTGGCACAGCCCATGGCCACGGATGGCACCACAGAACCGGAGCTGTGGTGCCAGCTCGGGAAGGTCACTGCCAGCACAGGGTGTGACACCAGGGCCGCAGCAAACCCCTGAGATTAGGAGACCCCAGACCCCTCTGCCTGGCTCCTGTCCCCTCTAGAGGGCTCCTCCAGCACGGCTCTATCCCAGGGTTTGGGAGGCTGGGAATGAACCCTGCTGGGTTTTCACCTGGGCCTTGCAGGTGTGGAACAGCCCTTGGGGACAGCAGGGGACAGTGCTGGTGATGTGACACGGCTTCAAGGAGGGGCAGCTTTGGGGGACCAGCAGTGTCCCCAGAGCACGGAATGTCCCAGAGAGGGATCCCAAGAGGGATTCCCCATCCACCAGTTCTGGCTATTGGATCCTCTCCGGGCTTCCCACATGGCGCAGAGTGGCAGTGCCACCCCGTGCTGGGGACAGTGGCAGTGGGGTGAGGTGGGGCTGTTTGAGCCCATCCTGCTGATCCCTCTGGAGCATCCCCCCGCTGCAGCTCCCTCATTCCAGCTCCTTCTCCCCCGCATTTCCAGGAGGTCTCGCTGCTGTTTGAGGGAGCCCCGGGAGGGCTCTGCCTGCTCTTTGTTCAAACACCTCTGACTTTTAAAGGCTGCTCCAAACAAATCCCACTCTGCCCGCTCGGCCCAGGGAATTCCCTGGATTTGGAAAATCCTCCTTGGCCTTTGGCTCTGCAACTGCAGGGAAGTTTCTCTGCTTCCTACAGAGTTTTCCGGCTGGAGGAGATGGAAGCACCGGAGGTCTGTGGGATGCTGCTGCTCCATTTGCTCCCTAATGGGGCAGCTGATGGGGCTGCCAGCATTCCTGGTGCTCCATTGCATCCCGGCAGGAGGGAACCAGCCGGGCATGGAGTGTTTGTCTTTCCCGGCGCTCCATTTAACTCCATCCATCATCCCGGGCTGCTCTCAATGTCCCTGCGGCATTGCCGGGATGCTGCCGTGGCCATTGCTGCTCTGCCAGAGCTGGAGGGTCGGGATTTTGGGAATGCCAGCTGCTGCTGGAGATGCATTGTCCCATGGGTGACACAACCCCCTTGGGGACAGGGGGGTGACAGGCAGAGCCCTGAGGGGTGCAGGAACTCCCAGGCAGAGGAGGAGACCAAATCTCTCTGAATTTCTCGAGGATTTGGGTGCGGGAAGCTCCACCTGCGATGCCAGATGGGCTCCCTGTTCCCTGCCTCTGCCAAGCAAATGGCTGCATCCCAGGAATTCCTTCTCTTTTTATCCCTGGGAGAGCAGGAGCAGAGTCCCAGCCCCTTTCCTTGGAGTTGGGAACGGTGGGATTTCTGGCCAGGGAAGGGCAGGATCTCAGCCTTGGGCTGGGGGTGGGTAGTGGGAGCCAATCATCCCACCCAGCCAGGCCAGCTCCAGATTCCCTACAGCCCAGAAAGTGTTTTGGTGGGATGTGGGATTGGGATGGGCATAGCAGCACTGCTGGGACCTTGGGAATGTCCCCCTGGGCTGTTGGGGACTGAACAGTGATGGGGCTGTGGCTTTGGGGTGCACTAAGGGGGTGCTGTGCTGCTTTTATCCATCCATCCATCCATCCATCCATCCATCCATCCATCCATCCATCCATCCCTCCACTGGATTGCAAGGATTTTGGGCACTGGCTGGCTCCATGGCTCCATGACAGTGAGGCTGTCTGGGAGTTTCTGGGATGGAGATAATAAAACATCCCAGGACAGCAGCGATGCTCTCTTTGGATGCAGTGCTGGGATTTTAGATCCCTTGGGATATAACAGCCCCCCCAAAGGAGCCCCAGATGCACCAACTGCCTCAGAAATGCCTTTTAATCTGCATTTTACCTGCATGATATCTCCTTGTGAAGCAAGAGATTGTCCTCATCCTAAAAATATAATTAATGAACAAGTTGCATCCTCCTTAAAAGCTGGAATTCCTTGGCAGGAGCCGCAGTAGCCAATTCTGAGATGCCAAGATTTGTATTCATAAAGCAGGAATGAGGTTCAGGTTTAACCTTTCCCATCCATCTTTATTTATTGAGTCATTAATTAGAAGCCTCTAATTTCCCAGGCTGCCCCTGTCTGGGCAAGGCTGTTCCATGGAGATGGATTTTGCCAGGATGGGCTTGGAAAAGGAGGCACTTCCCAAGCTGAGCATCCTGGGGGCAGCAGGGAAAACCCCGGAGCATCCCATAAATCAGAGTGACAAATCCACATCACCTCCCCGCTTTGTGGGGTTAACAAGGCTGGGTGGGATTTTCCTTGGATGTGGATCCTTGGGAATGGGGTTTTGTTTTCGGGTTTGATCTTGGAGCTGGATTAATTTAATATTAAATCTGAGTGGAGCATGGAGGAGTTGATGGGGTGTGACTGCTGAGGGATGTGTGGAGATTATCAAGTGTCCTACAGGGAAGAAGGAGCTGGAGTGGAATTTTTATGAGTCCTGGGAAGGCTCGGGGTGGCTTGGGGACAGTGCAGGGTCAGGCAGGGTCAGGAGCAATGAAGGAAAAGCAGGAAAAAATCCCGGTTTGGAGGGAATTCGGGAGCTGTGCTGGAGAGGAGGGAGGAGTTCACCTTCCCAATACCCCCGTGCTGCCAGGCTGGGTCATTCCAGAAGCTGCTGTCCCGGGACCGTGGGGGTTCCCAAAAAACCCCTGGCCATTCCAAAATCTCC